GACATATCCTGATCCAGTATCGTCATTCAGTCTGACCCCAATCTCTTCTCAATCGAAACTCCACGCCGAAAGCTCTCTCTTCATATCTTCTATATCTTCTAGAGTGCTAAAGGACTGTACCCATTTATAACTCCTTAGTGTAGAGCAGAACTCAAAGAGTTGAGTTCCTTGCCTGACCTTGCCTGGGCGAACAACGCAACGACCCTGCAGTACGAACCATCTGTCCTCTGGCGCGCGCTGTTAAATTCTAGCGCGCGCAAGATATTATTACAAAAAACGTCACAAACAGTGGAGTGGTTTATTTTGGATGTTTACCATAGAAACATTCAGTTGCAGTAAAGTTCGCTTGTGGTAACACTGTGAGAATTCTCTAAAACTGTTCGCTAACATTTTGGGTTGATCTAAAGTTGATTCATTTGATCAATCAACCAAACTGGGGAACGTGAATACAAATCAAACAAAGCCGAATCACACGATAAGAAAATGATTCAGAATCCGAATTTTTCGAAAGATTTGCGCTTGAAAAGAAAGCGCAAATCAAAGATGAAATCAAGTACCCCCGCGAAAAGAAGGCGCTTGGACAAAAAGGTGAGTTCGAATTTGCTTGATTCAACTGAAATACGAAAAAGATATCTAGAAGAACATTGCCTTTTTTCTCATTTTTCGTAGCGCTGGGCCAGTGAACAGGAGAACAAACCAGGAATTTCCAAATTCCAGAGGTAAGAAAGCGTATTTGAGATGCATACATAAAGCGCGTTCAAAATTTAATCTTACCATTTCTCATTCAATTTGTTTTCCTTAGAAATAAATTGAGATGCGTTTGGAGTGAGTCTGACAAAGACTACCTCAAGGAAATCAGTAGTTACGACAGCTTTTTGTCCCTCGATTATGAGGTAAAATGTTTTTCATTTAGTGTTACTTTGTTTCGTTTTTTTAAGTCATAATGCGATTACTTTTCTCACAAGGATATGGTATTTAGCCCATTCTCAGGTACCCTGGTGAATCATCATATACTATACAACTTTAATCGTCAAAACTTTGTACCCAGGAATTCAGTTTTTCAACCGATATTATGAGCTAAGAGAGGGTAATATTCGATGATAAAACAACACTGGCACAAAATGCTCTCTAACCGTGAAAATGATCGTCTCGACTGACCAGTGATTATCTTGTAAAGGTATTCGGGGACGTGCATTGCATTAGGATGCAATCGTGAAACGAAACACTTGTTTACTGAAGACTCAGAAGTTGTGTAACAAAGTTTGAGCCTTGTTCCAGGGAAGTCGCAAATCATGGCGGATGAAAATAGCCCGCACAACGGGGTACTCCCTGGAGTCAGTGATTTTTTTTTTTAAATTCAAGGGGGAATATGAAGGTCTCTCGGGTTCCTCTCTTGGGTTCATCACTACTCCACAATGGACCCGAATTTACTTAGACACAATCAAGCGAAATACCATGTTTTCGTTTAAAATTTTCCAGAAGCCTAACTGGGTAAATGCGGAGCTAAAGTTCACACTGTCAGGTGACAGTTCTTCATCCGATGAGTCCAGTCAATCAAGTGAGAATGATCAACTGAAATTATCTGAAATGCCGATACCAGAATACATAAAGGAAATTGCTTCTCGAGGTATGCTAAAATTTCGAAAACTTATTTTCAGTTTTTGAGCTTGGTCGAGCCTTCTGCGGGAATACATTTATCAACCGGCAGAACTCTTCCCGTAAGCAGACATAGAAGAATTAACCCAAATTTGTGCCGCATCCTCTTTCCTGTAAGAGACACTTAAACTATTCAGAGATTTTCCGACCATTATAACGAAAACTCACCCATTAACTTTCTGCTTGCTGTTGTTGTTGTTTTTTTTTTAAGTTTTCACTTGTACATTTTGAATTACTCGTTCCGCAACGATTTGTAACACGGATTTTACTCTAATTTGCAACTTTTAGCTGAGTTCATTGATTACGAACTTGGAAAAGTACTTGGGGCTGGTGCGTTCGGTTTGGTTATCTCTGCGACACGCACTAACGGCAACCTGCCGGTAAGTTCTTCTGCTCTATGATTGGTGGGAAAAACTTGGGTCGCCCTCTCAACCAATAAGATGCAATCTTGAGTCTGCGCCCGACTCACGTTTTCTGGCACTGTGGGTGGTTTGCCCGTTTTTATTTTGAGTTCTACATAAAAGTTGTACATAAAAGTAACTCTTAGGTTTGATGGCGTAAATTGCTGAGATTCTTCAAGCAAGTAGCTTTTCCTTTTAAATAAAAAAGGAAGGAGTAATAAAATATATATGGCTATCTTTTCAGGTGGCGCTTAAGTTCGTTCAGAAAAATTCAGTCAAGGAGTTTAGAAAGGTTTGTAAACTTCAAGTAATCATAAGAATATAGTGGAGCGGGTTTGTGTTGTTATCTATATTAGTCAAATCCAAAAATATGTTTCCCTTTTAGAAAAACGTCTTGAATGTAAAAGGAGTTCGTTTTTAAGCCAAGATGTTTTCATCGATTTGGATTAATTGATGAACTATTCAAAAATTCGCTTTCTTTCCTTCTTTACTACAGATAAACGGCTTCGAAATTCCGTCCGAGGCTTACCTTCAGCGCCAGTCACGTCACCGTCACGTGATCGAAATATACGAAGTTATCATCACTGACGAATTCTACGTATACGTTATGGAAAGACCTCAAGTCTGTAAGGACTTGTTTGAGGTCATACACGAGCGAGATAACCTGGACCGACCACTGACAGAGAATGAAGTGCGGCGGTACTTTGCCCAGATCCTGCAGGCCAACATCAGCTGCGAGGAGAATGGTGTTCTACACCGCGACATTAAGCCAGAGAATATCATCGTGGACATGAGTACTGATGAGGCAAAGTTGATTGATTTCGGTCTGGCATCTGAGGTTCAAGCTGAACCTTTCACGCATTTCAGAGGTGAGATTGATAACGAAAAAGAGTACTTTTAACACATCGGTCAAGTTAAAGGCATTGAAACTCAGGTGAAACCTGCCCCTCCTATAATGAAGAACGGTCGGTGTAAACCAATCGATATTCTTTAGCTCAGTCTAATTTATGGTTATTAAAGTGAAGGACGGAATAGGATTGCAAATGAAATCCTTAAAAAAAAAAACAAATCCCTTTAACGATTACCAGGATCCCATTTCAACGAATGCTTCAGCAAAATTTAATGTGAAATGTCAAAAAGTAGTAAAGGAAATGAGAAAGATGATTTTAATGAAGAATCTCTCATTTCAAACATTCTTGCCTCTACATTTACTCGAGCAAAACACGAGAATAAACAGATGATTGGCGTAATATTTATTGACAAGTAATTAACGGTGACGTTTTTTTTACTTGGCACTATTTCAGGCACACCACACTACATGCCTCCTGAGTACAGCCAATCAAAGAAATATGACGGCTGTCAGGGCACGGTCTGGCAAATGGGAATCCTGTTGGTGGACATGTTATCACCTCAAGTACCCGCATTTAAACATTCACATCTGGCCCTCAGTATGCCACCTAGAGTACCCCAAAATATTTCAGCAGGTATTTTATTTACAGAACCTTCAGATTCATGGTACTTAAAAACAAATTTAGATATTTGGGCCAAATCCAGCTATCAAACAGTTACCGCTTCCTTTGTTGTCCGCAAGAAGTCTGAGAAGGAGTTGTCGACAGAAAGCGTTTTCGGAGGGTCTTTCTCGAGAACGCAAAGGTTCAGTCACCCGTACGGGTTAAACCTCTGTGTAGATTGTGAGGGGAGGGGGTAGGGGGAAGGTTACGCACTGAAAAAAGAACAGGTCTAGACTACGTGGTCTGTTAAGAATTCCATTGCATGTAGTTTAATTTGAAATGTCACAAATTAACCCCCAGACTGAAAAGAGGTTGGGATTTATGTCCATTTTTTCCTCTCCGTTTGTTAAATCCTGCTTGGAATGCATTGAGACTGTTGTACGTTACATCTTGCGTTGTCTGCGTACAAACAAATTGTGCGCCATAAATAAATGAGGAAGAAGCAGGAAAATCAAACTTATGCCATGTGGTCGTTGCAAGTGTCTTCCTTCATTAATGTTCGATTGGCCTTACCATCTTCTCCCCTTTCTGTCTCCAAGGGAGTGGTCGTTTTAGCTTCAGATCGCTTCGAGAGTAAGGAGCGTCTAACGTGAATAACCTGGTTAACATTATCAGTTCTTAAATAATAATAGTTTCTTGTTTCCTTTTCAACAGACGCAAAGAATCTTATTTACTCGCTACTGAACACAACTCCAAACAATCGCCCAACTCTTAAGCAAACTCTACGGCATCCATGGTTTGCAAGAACAGACTAGACTGCTGCCTCACTGCTTTTATTAACACTGAATCAACTGGATCGTGAAAACAAAAATAAATAAAACAAAACGGTGTAGGTTTTAAAACTAAGTAATGACAGTCGTATTTATTATTTCACATTTGTAAAGAAGAAAAAAAAAAGAAAGAATCGTAAAAAAAAAAACAGAGTACCTTTAACAAGATGTTGTAAGTGGTGTATCTTTAGCAAGATGTTGTAAGTGGCACCCATGAAGTGTAAATCACTCAACGAAAAACATCTCAATAACCATATTGAGAGTAGTTTACGGAATCAGTTAGTGGTAGGGTACGTATCGCTGAATGAGCACTGTAAGCATTGCGTGTTAACTAAGTGCTGCTCCTGTAGTTACCTTACCCTAGTTGAGGCTATCAGTGAGCGGAGAAGCGCAAAAGAGCGAGAAGTTGACAAACTTCGATAGTCAGCGCCTATCCCCTCCCCAGTGTTTTTTTTTATATTTTTATTTTTTATATTTTACATTCACTAGTTTGCTCGTTTCTACCAACCGAGAGAATATAGTTGATTAAGCAACACAGACGATATTCTTTTACAGACTGTTTTAATTGAAAGAAACCTCACAGTTTCATTTCAAAACAAATATATATTACTAATAATTCTCGGTATGAAAATCATTGTTAACGTAGATCTAGGATAGCTATGTACACATATCTCAATTTTATTTCTGAGTATCACCAATACAACCTGTGTAACTAATACAAATGTATTGTTTTCGACAAATAATTGTAATATAATTAATAAACTTTTGTGCTTTAAGTAAATTTTTGTAATCAGAATATCAATCTTTGTTGATCAGTGATCTATTGCCGCATTCTGATAAATTACCACTTTAAACATTCCCATTCCCTTTCCCATTCCTTTTCCCATTACAAAGAATTTCAAACAAGCAGAAGCAAAGACATCCAGTCTGATGCACATAGGAAAAATAAAATTCAAGTCGTTCAAAGTAATGTGACGAAGCATTGACAAGATAAACCGCGATATGCAATTTAAGACTTTGCAATTGTCATCTTTGGGGCCTTCCCAAGACTATTCTGAAGGGCTTCCCAGGTATTCGGACATAGCAACCCGTTGCATGGCAACCGGGAAATGCTTGATTGACATTTTCTATTATAGTCTGTTTGGAACTTCTGAACTGCTGATTGAATGAGCGCGGAATATACCTCTGGTGTATCAAACAATGAACTCAAGTAACTGAGCTGGCGCAGAGCTATAACAAGCGCACCGATCAGATTCCGAACGGCCCCATGTGGGGAATTAGCAATGCCGTAAGTGTTTGATACAATGTCCTCCATCCTCTGTATCGTTTCAAATACAGTTGTCATCAGCACAATCTCAGCGGGAGCATTTCTAGGAAGCGGATTGTAATCGCAAGCGAGCTTGTCAAGCGTCGCAAAATTTGTCACAGTGTCCTCGAAAGAATCATACTCGCCATCAGGTATAGGAATCAGTGTAAGCTGGTCTCTAACATGATCCACATTCAGTGTGACGGCAATACCATAGTTCGTGCGAATGCATAACAATCCATTTTCATTCGCTGGGCACATGAATACTTGTTCCAGCATTTCTATTTGAGCAAACGAAGTGTTTTCTGGTCTCACCTTGACGACAGAAACTTTGACTTTCTTGCTTTTGTCCGAGGACGGCACTATAACAGTCCGATAAAACCTTTTGGAAATAAAATAAAAACTTGTTAAAGAGGAGTTCAAGATTCAAGCCGTTACCCAAGTTACAACCATACTGCGACGCGGAACATTATCCGCGATTGTATTTGGTTCTCTTTTTCTCGGTCTTTGATTGGTCTAAGAAACCGAACCACCACCTCAACCCATCAGATGCAAAACTAAATCCGCGTTTTCCCGCGTTTATAAAGGCCGGTTGCTTTTCTTCACTCCGGCTTCCCATGAACTTCCTATGATTTTCATTCTTTTAAAGAGCGGTTGTAATTATTTTGCTAATGGTTTACGACACTATACGCGCTATGGGGATTTTGGATCAATTTGACCATAACAATCCAGAACGACGATTAACGGAGCCAATGAAGAATCAATAGAAAATACATGCAAAAAGCCTAAAGCCCGCGAAAACGCCAGCGAAAAAAAAGAGAATGCTTTAAGTTTAGCATCTCATTGGTTGACAAAGTGGCGCCCATTTTTAACCAATCACAGAGCGAGGTAAAGCATATGCACTGTTGCATTATTTTAGATACTCATAGTGAGGTAAACTGAAAAAAATAATGGGAATCAACCAGAGTAAACGTTTCTCACCTAGTTGGATCCAGGTGCCACTCTTTCACAGCAAACACCTCAAATCCCTGAAGCCATTTATCCTGAGAAACTATTTCAAACACCGCTGCTTCTTCTCTGGCCATCTTACCAAACCTAGCTTGCTCACACACGACTATCCTTTCCGTTAACAGATGCGTCTTGTCCCTGTAATCCTGTTCGTTAATCCGCACCAAATACTGACAGGCAAACTCTACACTTGCCAAGTAATACCCTGCTTCTGAGAACGCCAAGTTAGGATTTGAATATCTCCTTAAGAACGCGATCGTCGACGCGAGGTTTGGTATTTTAGATTTTAGAACGACATACACCCAAACATCCATGAACTCATCTGGCGAAAGTGTAAAAAAAAAGATAAGCGAATGAGCAAACGAAGAGGAACGTGGGTGTAAGCTTTGATGAAGGAATTAGTTGACGGAATGATCTTCCCAGTGAATCTTGCAAAATTAGACCTTCTTTCCAATCCAATCACGCTCAACTTTAGCAGTCTGATTCCAGGTTATTTTTTTTCGCAACACGATAATCTTGTTCCTCGAGAGTCAGTCGACTCTTTTGGACGCGAGACGAGATTCAGGTCTCGTAGCTTGTTTCAGGCGTCCGGTCAGTAGAACGAGGCGCAATAAAACTGGCGCGAAACTTGCGACTGAGTGCAAAAACGAGGGAGGTCTGGGTCAGGTACGCGACCTGAACCGTACCTGCTTCCTATTCTTTTGCTTCATTGCTACTACGTTTGTTTATTTCGCTCCGTTTTACTAACTGAAAGCCTGGAAAAGGCTACACGTCTCACGAGAGGAAGGTAATTAAATTCTTGGAGGTATTGTACCGCAGAATTTTTATGCCTCTCCATATTCTGATCCCCTGATTACTACCTTGTTACACACAGATGAAAAAAAACTTACCTGCACCAGGAGGTTTAGAATTTTCTAACATGGACAACTCATTAAGTTTTTTGAACACACAATGCGCCGCGCTGACAATCGCGTGTATCTTGCGTGATGGTAAGATGGACAATGCCATACTTTTCATGGAAGCCACTGCTGCATAATACGGTGCTATACCATCGTCTTGATATACTACGTTGATGCCGAACTGGGTCTGTGTGATGTGTGCAAGATTTTTGTAAATCTGTGATATCCTTTTGTCCTCTTCTGGCTTACGGATGTGCGCTTGAATGAGGTTGTAGATGGATGGAAGCAAGTACTGCTCTAGTTTAGCCTGCAACAGTAAAAGTTCATTTTAGAAAAATAGTTTTGGGTGAATGTGATTTGCATAGACTTGAAACCATCAGTACAGTCCAACCTCGATTATCCGGACCCCGATTATCCGGACTATTCGATTATCCGAACTTTCTTCTCTGGTCCCAATTTTTCTATGAATATTAATTAGTTGATTATGTGTTCTTGAAAACTCAAAGTCGCAAAAAGCCCAATAATCCTTTCAAAAGACTGTTGAAACAGCGTATTATCCTCTGCGCTTTTCAAAATTCGAAAGTGCGACGAGACAAAGAAATATTCTGATGCGTTCAGCTGATATATGGTTGGCTCAATTGTTTTGTTGCCAAGGGAATATCATGTTTGATTAGTTCCTTCCGCGTAGGCTATGTAAACACACGAGCGATCGATCGTAAACTCAAATAAAAAACATGCCTACGAAGCGAAAGCTAGCCATTCTATTGATTAAAGATAAGCAGATAATTATTTCACATTTCTATCTCATTAATATTCATATTTTCGATTATCCGGACTCTCGATTATCCGGACTATTTACCGAGGTCCCGATGAGTCCGGATAATCGAGGTTCGACTATATTTAAGCTATAGACAACCTTTTTCTGTGTTCACGTAGCCTCATCTAATTACTTAAAGGTTGGTAGAATTTGAGATAGTTTACCAGTCCAGGGTTTTCATAACTGTCACAAATTCATCCAACCCACTTCTCAGTTGTTCAGACACTCTAAAAAAGTTCTCCACTGCTCTAAAAATGTTTCTTATCAACACTTATAAATCTATCATGTCAAAACCTAGTTTACATACTACCATTGAAAAAAACCTATTAACCAATGAAGACATGCTTACTACCTAATTTATTTTATCAATATTTAAATTGAACCATATACTTTGTTACTATGAAGAATATCATTTCTTAAGATTAACATTGTGTTTTGATTGCCATCTTTGAGGAGGGGGTCTTTCAGAGGTAATGTCACAGACTATTTTGGGTTTGACACTTACTAACAACTGTAAACAATATCTATTTTCAATAACAAATAAAGTATATGTTATTGAACATTTTGAATCATATATAACTTTAAAGTTGCTCTGATCCATGGTGATTTGCATCCAAGCCTGTTATAATCACTAGGTGATTATGATTATGTGCCAATCAATTCAAATGTGAACTGGAAGTGTCAAGGCTTTCCAGTGGAATACATTTTATTGTTCGATGTGGAAGTATTCAAGGGTGAAGAGTTTGTTTTTCATGATTTTCACATCATAGAGTAATGCTTACAAGTCAAAAACCTAATGGTAGCACCAAAAAATAATACACCATACCTTTTTTTCTCACTGATTTTAATAACATTTGTTCCTGGGGGGGAGGGGGCATTTAGCCCAGGGAGGGGAGAAATTTGAATAAACCAATCTTAAAAAGTTGAAACTCCCAGGGGGATGTGGGGGGGGGGGGGGGGGGGGGGGGGGGGGGGGGGGGGGGAGGAAAAGACAATCCAAAACTCATACAGATCAACTTCTTGATATTTCTGAAGCAGTTATACCCATCAAACTAAGATAAATACTTCTTAGCAATAAGTTGTACCAATATTACTTACATAGACCATATCATATGACAGGCTTTCTCTCTGATGAGTCAGCTGTTTATCTATGATGTACTGTGCCATACCACCCACAAATTCCTGATATCTGTCTGGGTGGACTCCTGTGGGAAACTCATCATCGATATTTTGTACATCCCAACATTCACGAATGTAAGCTTTCAACTTACATGCTTCAAATGTACTGTTTATATGGTTGGTATCTAAAATCCTATCCAAAATGCTGGCAATTTCCAAAGAACCCGGTGAAACCACAACTTCTTCAAGGTTCAAGTCTCCAGAGGTTACATCTGGTTCTTTGGAGCCAAGCTTTTTCTCCAGGTGTGATGTAAAGGACTGTCTTGTTGTTATTGATGATACTGATGACTGTGACAATTCTTTATCATCTTGAATGCAAAATTCTTTGTGCAATCTGCAATTCAGAAGCAATCATGAAATGAATTTCTATTTGGGAATAATTCCTAAGATCTGATTATAACTCTACCGTCTGTTTGCAACACCTTCTCTTGTGAGTTGGCAATGGAAATTTACTAACATATCAAAATTGAAGACAACAATCTTAAGCTGCTTACTTGATGCAGATAATATATGGTGTTGTAAGAAATAAGTTATGCATGGATACTTCTGAAATCAAAAATGGATTAAACATGAACAAAGCAAGAGTTTGATGGTCAAAGAAATGTTTTATCCAGCCATATGGTTTTACTGAGAGCTGACTCAAGGCACTACTAGTGATGCAGTTAAAGTGACATGTTCCCTGATAAACATAGCCTTTTCACGGGTTAACTAAACTATAACCTTGGAGGTTATGAGCATTTTTTAAATAAAAGCTAACTTACTGCTAAATAGACAAAATACCTGATCTTTGCAGCCTCCAAATCAAGCATTTTTGATTGCAGTTTGTAAATTTGTTGATTTCCCTGCACCCATTCCTCAAATCTGCAGAACTGCAGACCTTCTGGAGTTGGTGTTTTACTACCTTTGGTGATCAAGTCCTGAGTGAAAGGGTGAGTAGTCTTAGGCTATAACTATAGTAATATCAAAACTAATAACTGTTTGTAAAATAAGGTGTAACACACACTTGAGATCATGTACAGGAGAGATTTTTCAGATCATACGCCTCTCATTTCGAAAACCCCATAAATTTCTTGCAAAGTCTATTGAGTTTTCCACACGACAAAGCAGCGACATACGCTCGTTTCGCTTAATCAGGTTGATTTTCAGAAACTGAAAGAGGATCTAACGAAAGTTTTCCTTGCTTGAAAAAATGTGAACTCACAAACGGAATAAATTTACGTGACCCAGTACCTGTAACTGTTTTATACAGGAGCTCACATGCACTTGCTTCAAACACAGCACTTGAATCTTCAACATGACAATCTCCTTTGTTAGCTCACGCTTTTTACGCGAGTATTCCTCTGCATCTTCAGTCTTGCCGTCCACAGACTCTAATGCTCCCCAGGAACCCATCACCCACACAGTCATTGGCTCCGCGCCGCTTTCCTCATCAAGCCGCTCTTCTTGTGCGCTCAGAGAAAAGCACTGGCTTTGTAGCTCCGTTTTCAGGTGGCGATAGCTGATTAGTGATCTTGCTACTGTTTCTTCTGTCTCCTTTTTCACTGAATCTAATTCCCAGTTATCAAGGAGACGAGAAGACTCGAGGAGACCTGCAATGTCCACCATTTTTAAACGTCCACCTTGTTATGAGGACGAGTTGCATTACAGGAACAAGAGCCGGGGTGGGGTAAAAAAACATTTAGTTTTATCCTCAAAGGAAGTGATTGATAGATGTAAGTTGGAATCGATAAGTAGACTCTCGAAGTTTTTTCAAAAATTTTTCCTTTTTATTTCTTTTCTTAATTTAATAACAATTAAGAGCATGAATTGTTGGGAATTTGTCAAGAAAAATTTAACTTAGGCTCATAGTTTCCCTGGGGGGGTGGCTGAAGGAAGGGTAAAGCAAAGAAATAATAGATCGTAAATTGGTCAGCGGAAACACTTTTGTCATTTACAGTGCATTATGTATCTACGTATGCCGTTTTGATCTTCCTCAGGAAAATTTGAGCGCGGAAACCACTTGCCATATTTTCCTTTAAATTGAAATCAAGACGAAAAAAGAGGGAAATAAATAGAAGTATTTTATGGAGAAGCTTGTATGATTAGAAATTCCCAAATTTGGAGTAAGCCCGGGAGAATCGAACCGGATACGATGACCAATCAGACACAACTATCGAACCAGCTGTTAAACAAACATATGGTCGAAATTTAGAAAGTTCCTTAAATTTTGTTTCATCACCTGTTAGCTAGGGTTCAGATGGTCTTTTTATTTCGCTATGGGCAAAATGCGAATTTTTTCCGTTTCATTTTTACTTCTGGTCATTTCGGTCACGGTCGATGCCGACATCGATGCAGAGGAAGCAGCATTGCCAACAAAATGCCATGGTGAGTAAGGATTATTCTATTCTTCGCTTTTTTATTAATTCTTTTTTCTAAATGATACCCAAGGAAATAAAAAAAAGCTGTGTGTATAAATCTCTGAAAAACAAAAAGTTATTTCAGAGACGCGTTACTTTTGACAAAAAGACAAATAAACAACAAAGTAGATGTAGTCTCCTGAGAATGACCTGTGAATTCTGCAGCTACAAATGTTTGTTTCCTCTCTACTTTTTATTTATTCGCTTATTAGCCGTTAAAATTTATCTTCCAAGAGACGATAAAATATTGTAAATTTAGACTCCACAAATGTTTTAGAGAGTATCTTATAGCTAATCTGAAGCTTTTTTCTGCTAACCATAGTAAATACGAATGCGGGGGAGATTTTTTTTCTTCACAAGCTGCTTGTTTGTTTTAGCTCAACAGTTATGTTTTCCAGCCAAATATATTATGCGTTAAAAATTTTCTTTCAATATTTCACACAACTTTTATGTGGCATTTTAACTTTGATTCGCCATTAAAAAAACTTTTGTCGTTCTTGAAGTTACCTGATCGAGTTCGATTGAAGAGATTCGAAACTAAATTTTGTCGAACATATGTCTGAAACATGAAACTGTAGCTTGCCAGTCAACTTATTTTTTGGAGCCAAGAGACGCGAGCACCATTCAATTAACTTCTGTTCATTTGATCGAAATGTTGATTAGGCTTTGTTCACAATCAGATCACTGACTCAAATTGTGTCATATGTCAATATGCACAATTGTGATCTTCTAAATTAACAGTAACCACACTTTTGATTGGCTGCCTCAACAAACTTAACTTTAAACAGGTGCAAATTGTTGGTTAATATTGGCACAGTTTAGAGGCCAATTTTTGTTTGGTTAATGTTTTTCTTTTTTGTGAATAGTGGTTTATGCCCTCAGGGAAAGGATTTGTTAATTCTCTCTCTGAGCACCTGCCTTGGATCTGCAATCTAAATTATTTCAGGTTTGCGTTTCTAGCATTAGATTAAGCTGTAAACTGATAAGAATTTCTTGAGGATTTGATACCATTGTGACAGTAGTAGTTCCCCCTCTATGTTTTTCAAAGTCCAGTTAACCCTTTAACTCCCACTGGTGATTAACATTTAACTTCTCCTTTAAATGTCCTTAAATTATCCAGCAAGCAAGTAATGAGAATACTCAAACCTCTTGAGCAGAATTTGCCAACTCAATCTAACACCAGGTGTAGCACTCACAAGGGAGAGTTGAAATCAGATCTTGGGACATAAAGGGATAAATAATTTCTGTAAGAAATAAATTTTTTAAAAAAATTTGTCCTTCTAAATGTGTTTGAATCTCTCAATGTTACAGTTTGTAAACACTTGGTACAAGAACTGCAGGATGAGCTTGAAAGGTCTGGCAAGTCCAAGGAAGTCTTCCAAACAGGGCAGATATTTCAGGAGCAGCGTAAGGAAATAAACTACCAGTATTCGTAAGTATGCAAATCTTATTGCTGTAGTCAATTGCCTCTAGATCATGGGAAAAGGGGAGACATGTTAGTCTTGTAGCTAGTTTGGCATACTCTGGAGCTGGAATTAGCTAATACCAGTTTAAACCTTTTACCTCATTTATGTGGGGTTGCAGACCTCAAACAATTTTCAGTGAATCATTATTTACATTTTTGAAACTCACACCCTATACTTTTATATTTTGTTGCAGTGAGGTTCGTCTGAATGAAGCTCTGGAAAATGCCTGTTCTAATGTTTTAGATTACAAAGTGCATAAAGACAAAGTGAAGGCTTTGAGATATGAAAAGAGTGAGTGAAATCATTATATTAAAAAATATTCCCCCTTTCCCTAATGCCTCATGATGTACAATTTTTGACTCTGAAATGAGTTTCCACCATAAACACTGTGCAAGGGTATTCTCTGTAGCCTAATTATACAGAGAGGTGCCCTCCACTAGGAGGGAATTTTCACTGGGTAGTAGAATATTTTCTGACAATTTATTGTTTTCTGTTAGAATTTGTAGCACATTTTGAAAGAATGCCTGTTTTAAATATAATCCTCTACAATCATATAGCTTAAGCCCCAATTTTCCAAATTGAACAAGTCCCACAATAGAGAGTGTTGTCCAACAGTGGGCCATTATCGTAGATCTCTTTGTTCCAAACAGGGTCATGTAGGCTTCCATGCTCTTAACTGCCCTTTTGTACCTGAAATACCAGGACAAGTTAGCCTCATAATATACTGTGTTTTAAAAGGCCCTGGAATTAAAACTCAATACTAAGTTGGAATAATACTTCTCTCTCTCTCTTTCCAGAGGAAAGTGTAACATTCAACACCCTCAAAGGACTCAAGAATCGAGGAGTCAAGGTGGACCTTGGATTTCCTTACGAGATGTGGGACACGCCTGATGCTGAAGTAACAAGGCTAAAGAGCAGGGTAAGACCTTGGTAGACATTTTGTTATTTAAGTTATGGGCTGTAGTCATTGGCATACTTTGTTGGTTAACTTGCAGGGATTTTCTGGCCATGATTTCAGTCAAAAAGATGGTGTATACTGATTGGCAAAACTGAGGCCTGATATCCTGAAATTTTCAGTGCAAGTAGTCTGAGACAAAGCTGTCAATTGGCCATTAAGTTTCACTGCAGGTTGTTGACATGTGAATAAAACAGCTCTCATTCAAGAGAGAGATCAAGGACTCGAAATCAAGCACAGCTGGCCACACTAGGATATCTGTCTCCTACCATACTTAGCACCCTGGCTGCTTTGCTGTTACTCAACAAATTCCTGTTCAACTTTTTCTTATAACTTGGTGATCTGTTTATGAAAATCACTAGTAAAATAAATAGGGTCCTTGACACAAATAGCAATTTTCCACAATAAACAGAACATCAGCTGTTTTTGTATAAGGTTCTGTAGTTTTGCATGTCTTGTCAGGTTACAGAGTTGTTTAAAAATGGTGGTATCCACAATTAATTTTTCATTACATTTGAGGACAATTTCTAGTTGCAAAGAAAGCTTTTTAATTCAAAGCTCCAAATGCAGCAAGGAGTGAATTTTTATGAGTATTTTTACATTGTGAAGATACTAAGAATTATGTTTTGGCTGGAATATGATTTAATGATCACAGTTTATAACTACAGTGCCATTTATTTCAGTGTGAATTAATGGTTGAGACATATGAAGATGACTTGACCCAATGGTACTGGCATCACCAAAAGGAAAATTTGACAAACTGGTTATGTATTGAGAGAGTGCTGGACCCTGGGGAGGAGGGTGAGAATTTTGTTCATATCTGTTGTTTTATGTGGGTGTGGTCGTGTGAAGGGGTGTGGCACAGGGGCTGGGGGGGGTTGCACTCTAGTGTCTGACTGGTTTTTGGGACCTTGTCGAGTTGTTTATCACCTCTTATTAACAAAGGTGGCAGTCACTGTCTTGGTAACATCCTTGAGATAAGGGTGCACTGTATGCATTTTTATTTTCCTCTCTTAGACAAGAAAACTAAGAAGAAGAGAGAGTTTCTAACGCGTTATGTTATCATTACGCCGTATAACAGAGTTCTATATTATTTTTTTCTTTAACGCAGAGTGTTTCAATGAAACTGAAGCAAAAAATACAGATGACAAGAGAGGCAGTGAAGGGACAGAAGAGAAGGGAAAAGAGGGTGAAGACAAAAACAAGGATACAGATGAAGACAGAGAAAGGAAAAAATCCGGAAAGGAAAAAAAGAAAGGGAAGGGAAAGGAGAAAGACAAGAACAAAGGCGGAAAGACATCAGCTGGAAAATCGAAGAGGTCTTCGCAGGCTGAAGAAGATGATTCGGAGAAAATCCAGCGTCTCATTAGGCAACAAGCCCAAGAGCAAGAGGAACACCGCAAGAAACGTGGCAGGACAAAGGAGTTTGTTGGTGGTAAGATGGACGAACGAAAACGGCGAGAGTTCCAGACCAGGCTCCGAGACATTCACGATGTCGACCGTCTCCGACGCGAACTTCGGAGGATTCGTCAACGAGAAATGACCGAAGATGATTACAGTGCAAGAGAGCCTTGGGAACACCACATGGACTCGAGCATTCCTGAAGAAGTCCGACGTGACATGCGACGACATCGGTTTGAGCGAATGAACGATCCCGAAGATCTGAGGAGAGAGTTGCGCATGCGAGCTATGGACCTCGACGATGATGACCATTTCTTCGAAGAGCACTCCTTCGCTTTTCGTGAATTGAGCCACCGTTACATGATAGAAGCAGAAGAAATTCGTGATCCTTTGGAGTTGAAGAAACGTATCGACGACCTTGACGCGCTGTCGGCGATATTTTCTAGTGGTTACGAGCGTGACCGACGACGAGGGCGACACGGTCGGCGCCCTTGGAAAGACGAATTTTGAAGAGTTGGTGCCGGCCACAGAAAGTTTTTTATCTTTAGCAGCCCCACATGAAATAGTGACACAGGGACCCTATCGAGCAGAGAGCGAAACAAACTGGTTTTCACGGACTCTATCAATTTGGTCTGAGGTTATGAATTTCAATCGGTTCCTCTCGCAGAGGGTATTAGTTTAAAGTAATTTTTCTTGAATAACATAGATAGACGGGACTGCATTGGTATTGCTTTAAAACCCCCTCTTTGTCATTAAAAACATGCGTCTCGCACTTAACTCTCTAAAACCATCAAGTGCAGAGGAGAATAGGGATTTGATCAGCGCCTACTGTCAGCCTCGTACTCAGGTTTCTCTCTTTTCTTGAAGCACGTAGCGCAAGGTGTCATGGGCCAGTCGCTCTCTAAGAGTTACTAAAGCCATGTTACCATCGTGCAGTGTTCACCGCTTTTCCCGCCATTGTAGTAGGGTCTGGCTGCTATATAGACAAAAAACCTACCGCTTTACATGTTTCAAGGACGACATGTCACTTAGTAACTATTTAAATTAATTCTTGACTCTGTTCACAAATTTCCTTTTTGGCAGGCGTTTTTGATTGGCTAATTTGTTGGGCTGCTAATGATTAGAACATTAAGGGTCTTGAATTAAAGTAGAAATATAAGCAAAGGACATTCTAGATGCACGCATCCTTTATGGTGGAAAACAAGTTGTGTATTTTGGTTTCTATTAAAAGTTTGTTCACACTTGCAACGCAAAATGCATGTAAATTTAATTAACACAAATATAAATGACTGCCCGGCGTAAGGACTGGAAACATCGTTTTCTTGCGCTTGCCTTCTGTGCATTTGTTTGTATTTGCTTCATTTGTGTGAGCTGATCCTTAAGCGCACGCAAAGTTTAAGAAAAATTTAAGGCTTGATATGGTTGTAGGAAAATAGTTTAACTGTATTTGTCGAAATAAATGACTAGTTTCTGTTCTTTTACGTGTCACATGTTACATGCTGAAAGACGGGCTTTAGTTAGATTACTATTCGCTCATAATTAAGAACTGGAAAAATGAAGGATAGTTTTAAAAACCGATGTTACTGTATTTTCTTGTTATTAATGAGCAATTTAGTGATCAGTGTACGGAATTAACTGAGTGGAGGTTGGAACGCGGGGGAGGGGGAAGGGGAGGTGAAAACCAGCGCCCAGGTCCCAGGGTTTTGTTACATATTTTTCGATGTAACAAACTTAAGGCTAATTATTAATCGTTCCTACTAAATCTGTCTTTTTTTTCTTTTGAAATTTTACTTTCTACATATCTCCTTATCAATGTTCCAGTGAACTTAACTTCAGGGCATCCACTCTCCACGACTTTTAAACAGTAAAACAACTATGAAGATATCACACCATCGCAAATACGTTTAGAGATGAGAATTTTCGAATGGACTTAAGATGCAAATTACGTCCTTTGACGTCCTTTGACCCGGTGGTTATTCTCAAAGATTCCATACAACAACAGGTTTTGTAAAGTTCCTCTTGTATCTAATTTTTTCGCTTCCGCAGAAATTGAAACAGCAGGATTTTAAAGAACATATTTTCCATTTCAATTTGCATTGAAGCGTTGTACATTCCTTTTGACATTTATTTCCTGTAACAGCGACAAACAAAACCTAATATGTGTTTTACAATCTTTAAATCCGATGCAATATTTTGATAGGGCGTCTACACACGAAAAGATCGCGAGATCAATGGACTGAATTTTAACCACGCTTTGTTTGCGTATTCTCAGTTTACAACATTAGTTTACTACTAACAGTACAGACACAGGCCGCTCAAGCTTACGTCTCGAGAAAAAGCCAACGGTTAATTAATGAAAGCGTCGTGCGTTGTGTAACTCGGTGCTAAGTTACGAGAGGAACCGTTGAAAATTTGAACACGTTATAAGGAATAGTACTGGGAACGAAATATGGTCGATTTACAACGATAAATATATCGAAATATGAACATTTTACACGTAAAATTAATAAAACTTACTCACATCCTGTGTGTCCGTTGTAGTTTCTGGCGATTTCTACAGTTTTAAGCTTGTCATCACTGTTATTCCTGTCAAAAGACTTCACACCGAGTCACACAACGCGTGACGCTTTTACGAATTAATCGTTGGCTTTTTCTCGTGACGTGAGCTTGGGCCACCTGTGGTACAGATATCTTTTCACTGACGCACTATTTATGTATGGCTTGAGTAAAATTGAGTTCCGTGCAAGAAACAAGAAATAACGATGTTTATATGAAAATCAGTAATTCAAAGTTTTGTTTACATCTTGTTTTGTTACTTTCGAACTAACTCATCACTTTAAACAAATTACACCCCACAGGAAAACTTTTCCATTACGATCGAGAACTCTCTTTCCATACATTAGAGTATTTGCGCACAATTTCGTGGATGGAGATGTTTAGTAACAAATCATTGGAACTTATTTTTTTCACACTAGCTTCGGTCGCAGATTCTCCTCTTGAATTAATTGTCGATGACTTTTCACTTTTCAACGATCAAGATGTAATCTGTCTCATATTCGTTCTACCGAAAGTCACTGAATAAACAGTAAGCAATATAGCTCGGCGAATTTCTCGCATACGATAGCAGTAAATCAAAGGATTTATGGAAGAGTTTATGTTAATAATTGTAAGTGTGAAGTTGATAGCGATCCAATTCCATTCCGTGTAGCCCATTATTTTGCCCAATGCAAGGCACAAGGAGTAAGGGAGATAGCAACACAGTAGTACACAGTACACTAGGAACATGTTTAGAGCCCCCCTCCTCCGGTGTTGTAGCATAAGATTTTTAGACTTTTTGTCAACTTCGTGTCTTAAAGCTTCAATCCTCTTCAGATGTACACAAGCGATGCGGTAAATGTTGATGTAAGCCGCTGTTGAGATGACCAGGCAAAACATTATTCCTGAGACGAAAAAGTAGGATCTATATGAAGGAGCAAACATAACCCAGATCAGAGGAGAAATCGCGCCAAGAAGCCATAAAATGACGAGAAATCGGCGGACACGTTTCAATGTGATGACATCTTCGCATCGTAAATGGAGGCGGAGAGACAGATAACGTTCTAAACTGATTGCAGTCACTGTTCCAAAAGACACGCAAGAGAAAATGGACGCTGTTACTGCTACAGCAACAGACATTGTGCAAGTAGATTCTTTAACTCCCCGCTCGGCAAACGAGATTAGATACGCGATGTAGAGTGGCTGCAAAATTAGACCGACTCCTAAATCAGACATGGCGAGGCTTATCAGCAACAAATTTGCCGGAGTCCATAGCGAGTACGAGTGCCAAATTGAGATAATGACCAAGGCATTGGTCACTGTTGCCGTGATGCAGAAAGGAACGTTTAGAACAGCGTTGACAATGAAAGCTGTTCTGAACGGATCATTCCCAAGTGCTGCCATGTAGCTAAAACTACTGAAACGATTGCAAAAATCATCCTCGGAAATATTGCCGGACATGTTCGTCACTTTCTGTGTTCTTGTTAAATCAGGTTTTTACTGCTGTGAAAAAAAAACATTTTATCTCAATGGAACACATTAAGTTTTTAGTTAAAGGAATTAGTTCGTGACGTATTAATTTGCACTTTCCAATCTTTTGGCCAATTAAATTGCACGAAAGGGCAGTTTGAGGGCTTCCTTTTTTTCCATATCAGCACCTCCAAAAGGAAATATCAATATTACCAACTTGTGATATGCAACGTCAATAATTTCTTTAAAATAAGACCCAATATGCCTGATTTCATCCCTTTATTTATTTTCCTGATTTCGTAATTATTCTCGAATAAGACACGATTCTTGGACGAATAATTTTGTCTCGAAGCTTCTAATTTCGTGCAATCAGCGATGACTTAGCATTTCTGTTTTCTTGTTACTTAGAATAATAAATTTCGATCTCCGCGATAAGCTACCAATGGTTTTGAAGTCCAATGAGGTATATTTCCTAATTTAGTACAATCTGCGTGTCTTTCAATCAACAGCTGTCAAACTTGAGCAACGTGAATATTTATTTTCCTGAGAATGTAACAATTGACTCCAAAAGATTCGGATCTCTTTTTCTTCTTTCACATTTTATTTCACCTGGACCATAAAATACTTCCGATCTCTAACGTCAGATAAAGGAAGTGAAAGTAAATATTCCGACATTGTGCTTCCTCGTCGTAACAGAAGCGACTCGAAAAATGAAAACGGCGGTTTTTAAAAAGCAGTTGCCATCAAATCAATGACACAGCTCTAGCTTTGCCAAGGTGACAAAAGTGTAAGTAATGAAATGTGCGGCAAAAAAAAAAAACAAAAAAAAAACGATATTTCCACGGATTCTCCTTACCTTCCACTATAAACAGTAATTTTAGCATATTAAAGGTCTTGCTTTTATTTTATTCACATCATTCAATTATACAAACTTGCTTCTAGAAGCCATTTCAATTTGTTTGTTTGTATAACAATTTTTAATCGACAGCTTATACGTGACGAAATACGTCTCTGTGTTAGAAGAAAAATATCGCGAATCTACAGAACTCTAAAGAAAAAGGATAAAAGTCATTGCCAATTCTGAAATGGAAAAGGGAGATTTTAAGAATAAATTTATCACTTGAGAGTGTTTGCCGTAAGACTGACAAGGCACCAAAGTCTTTTTTTTATCCGTACATTACAACAAAACAGATAAAGAGCAGAAATAAAATTTAGATCCCTTGGCCAAGAGAAATTTATTTCCATTTGTTTGGTTCTGAATTCGGAAATTAAAACAGTTTTTGGTTATCCGCTACGAAACTTCATCTATTACGTTATTTAATCACCTGCTCCTTATAATTTTCCTTTCAAGACTTTTTCTTAAAAACAATGTAGGAAAACACGCAAATTTTGTCGCTGAATAGATCTTTGAAGCTGAATAAATCTTTCTAGTTCTCTTCCTTTAAGAATCAGAAAAGAAAAATAACGAGATATATGGTAATTATACACGTCATAGCTATTCCAATGAGCGTGTTAAGAAAATCTAGTGATTCTAAATTGCGGATCTCACAATCTTGAATATGGACAAAAAGAGAAACGTGCTCAACTGAACGTTCAAAACCACATGTTTTCCTCCAAGCTGTTATGTGATGACAAATTAAATTTCGACTTCATGATATTAAGCAATCGCTGTATTTATTTAAAGCTCAGCTGTGCAACTCTGCAAAATTAATCAGTGATATTGTCTGGGCCCAAACTATAGCCGCTCATATCCCTTAAAATTCTGAGCCAGTTTCTCGCGAAAGTGAACTTTCTACCGCAAAAGACTTAACAGCTCCGGTTCAAATTTCCCACTCACACCGGGCACAGACGACAGTCAAATGCTCGTGGGTTGCCTAAGAGGGAATGTTCGAGCTTCTAATTGATCGGCGCAGAACCTACTTTATAATGGTGTTTACATTTCACATGGACAAAAGTGCTCTTTGTTAGCGGAAATACCGAGAACGGGATCCGGCTAATATGAGACCACCTTGCGGAAACTACGTAAATAAGTGAAGCAGGAACATGATCTTCTCTGTGAATCACGCTTAAGTTAAATTAATTGACACAAGGTGTCATACGCATGCGCAAAATTCCATAAGAGCTCTTCGACCTTGGGCGAGAACCGAGGTCTGGAGCCAAGGACATAAAAACTTCAACGTGCCGTGCAAAATGTGTCACGGTGTTATACTGTAGAACTGAGCAAAAAATAAGGAAGGAAAGCGAGAACCTAAATAGCCACACTTAAGCCAAACTCATTCCATTTCTTGTGCTTCAAGTTTACAGCAACGAAAATTTAAGCGCATCTGATTGTCACGTTGGTGATTAAAAGTACTTCATTGGCTTCGCTAATGTCGTTGTCGTCTTTCACGCAGGCCGTATTCGATCAATACTTTGGACAGGATTATACAAGTAACCGTGCTTGATACGATCGTTTTAATTTGGAAGAAGGTAGGAGGCACTTCCCAGTAATAGGCTTATGTAAATGTTCCGCTGGATGAGATCGCATTTCCACCATTGGATTAACGAGGGAGATTGATAAACAGAAAGTGACCATGTTGGGAACATTAAAAAACCATTTGCCCAAAAGTGACTAAGATGGGGTCTATGATTGGCCACAGAATAGACTTTAATAGGGTAGGGGTTCTGGGAGGCCAGCGACACATACCCAGCAAAAATTGATCCAAGTACCCCTCCCACTGGTTGTTTCATACCAGCACTTAAGACAGGTACACTATTTATAAATAAAATACAAGCCTTACTTTCATCACTTTTTTATCACTATTTAGGACACAATTTTTGACAATCCAAGTTAACTCCATGTCTCAAGTCTTATTTACACTAGAAATTAAACTTTCTATGATACCTTTTCCTTAAGTTAGTACTCCACCACAGACTAGATTAAAATCAGGAAAAACAAAACAAAAAAAACAACAACCAATTGAAAAAACAAAAATAAAGAAAACGCAAACATGACAAGTTCTTTAGCCTAAAATCCAACAAGTAAGGCCTTGAAAAAGAAGATTTGTCAACAGGGAAATCAGCTAGTGCAAAGGACTTCACAGAGACACTTGCCATAGAAATTATTAGCGGTTTATGTAACTCCTGCGGGAAATTTTGACACGTTTTGCTCACTAAAGTAGATTGAGATTAATTATATCCTTGAAAAGTGCAATTTCCGACGGAAAAGTGTTCGTGTTGAGCTCGATGAAATCTACTTCCTTCCGCGCGATCCTCTGTACTTTTTATACCTCTTCCCGCGTCCATAACCCCTGTTATACGATCCTCTGTTATTCCCTCTGTTACCGGAACTTTTATTTCCCCCACGGAAACCAGACCTCCCGTAACTGGGCTCCTTCTGCCCGTATTTTGATTGCCTTTTGTTGTTCTTGCTCTCTTTCAGGTGTTCAAATTGATTCTCGAAGTCCACGACACTGTTCGAATTTTCCGTAAACTGGAAACATTTGATTGGTGAATTACTGACATCGTCCCAGTCCACTTCGAGTTCATCAGTGTCTTCTGTTGCAACAGTTTGCGAGGGTTTCTCAATCTGTCTGTTTTTTGCAACAACCCTTCAATCAGAAAATGTGTAAGGCATTGCAAAATACTGCTATGATTCACAATATTAGCCATATTTGTGTTACAATTCCCTTTCCCCCCGTCGGATTGTTTAGTTCAAAAATCTACGCTTGGAAGGCGAACTGGTTGGTTATTTACAAGGGAGGAGTAGAGCTGTAAGGTAGAGTGCAGGATTTCACCCTTTACTCAGACCCGTAAACTACTCGGCCACTGGTCTTTTGACAGAGTCAAGTTACAAACGTTGAAAACAGATTCAATTGCTCATATGAACACTAGACACGTATTTCTAAGAATGGAGGTAGAATGTGCTATTATGCGCTACGAGTTGATCTGTGAACATTGAGGAGTTTCTAAGCCTTCTTGGCATCCTTCCCACCCACAACGCTTGCAAAATTTACTCTTACCGTAGTAAATGAGGAAATTACCACAAAACTTTGATAAAAACAGAAATGCACCTTCTATCTTTGTCTTTGCTGCTTCCCTGACTCCTGTCTTTCAGGGTAACTACTGGAAAAAAGGATATCAAAAGGTTCGATAGAGATAGTACTTTTTAGGCCGTGTCGCTTCAGAACAACAATAGCAGAACCATATGGTCAAGTGGAAGAGCAAATTTCCTATCGATTCATTAAAAGAAAGTGTTTCCCCCCTCCCACCCGCCTTGAAAGGAAGACCTCACTTTACGAAACTTTTCAGTTGGACGAAAAGTCTGAAAATTTTACCTAACAAATCAGACTTCAGAATTACCGCTACTTCCCCTGAATGGGAACTCCTGTCCGTTGCATTTCCCCCGACAATCAACTGGCACCAATCCAAACTACTGAGTGAGATGAAGCATAGTGAAAGTTTCCTGCTCAAGATCGTAGGAAACCCAACTACCTTGACTAGAGCTCGAACTCCGGATCTTTCGACTACAGCATAAAGCAATAACTACAAGGAAAGAGTTTTTCTCACATAACTGTTAAAAGTAGACCTGATGTGATTCCAATAAACCATCCAGCGAAAACCTTATTGCTCCTGGAAGCTCAACAAAAGCATCCACAGGTAACCAGACAGTCCAGCAAAGAACTCACCTCCTACTTTACGCTGCGCTATTGATGTCCTTTTCTTAGCCTCCAGTTCTTCATCCACGTGCTGCGAGTACATTTCTTTCGGAATCTTCTCGTTACAGAGCTCACAGACCACGTGATACTCGTCACTCTCCTCGCTCTCAGAATCTCTTGGCCTCCGAGACTTCTTGGCCTTAGAGCTTTTTGATAAAGATAGGGGGCGTTTCTTGCTTCGACCACCAAGTATGGCAAGTGCGATATCATTTTCGTCGGTTCCTTCTTCTCGAATTTTTCTGGATTCTTTACAACGCGCAGAAATGCGCTGAGCTCCGTACTGCATCATGAGGCTGTCATCACATATACCACTACTAACTGATGAATCGCTGTCCGGCTCCACTTCTTCTGTTCCACAGGAGGTTTGTCGATACTCGGGCTCTTCGGTACTGCCACTTTCATTTTCTTGTCTTTCCTTGCTCATGTTCAAGGGAATGTACTCACCGAGGAATGTCTGTGCTGCTTTCTTCTTTTCCGCGCTGAATGGACAAAAAGGGAAAATGACATCTTCCGAAGTCCTCAGGGAAGAAAATTCCACCAAATACAAAACAAAATGAAAAAGCAAGAAAAGAAAATTTTGGCGCGCATATCAAAATGCACTAATGACTGCCAAAGGAAAGAACAGAAATCCCTAATTTTCAATCAGTGTTCTTAAAGGAAAACTCTGCAACAGAAGGCTCATTTATTTATAAGTACATGAATATGATAAGCTGAATCCTACAGGGATTTTGATTGGTTCGTACTAATGATCTACTGGAGGGCAGATGCATAGATGACCTCACTATGAACATCATTTTCCTTGTTTA